TTGAATTATCATTATTCATGGCATTGCGGAGTCAACGGTTCGGATTCTATACGTAAGTGTATTGTTAACGTAAATTATTTCGTCGTTTCGGCTTGTCACAGATGTTTACAACGCGTTGAGCGCGAAGGTCGCACGAGTGATTGACCCATTTCACTGGTGAATGCGAAAGTTACCACCTCTCGTCGATTTCCATTAGGTGACTTACGCTGTCCGCTTCTGCTCCGCCTGTTTGCATCTCCCAATGCTTTTTAGCAGCTGCTTTTATTCTTTTCTTCGCGTTTCGACCAGCTCGAAATTTTCCTGACAATTTTTTATTCGAAATTTTTGTGAAATTTACTGTTATCCGTTATTGTTATTGCTGCTATGTATGGTTTTGCACCGACAGGATAGCGTTACAATTTTGGTACGTAAATTTTAATAAAATTTCAGAGAACACAATATTATTTTTATTATCGTCACGTGACTCTGATTGCGTTTAGGCAAATTCGTATTTCCATGAACACGACTAAATAAAGAGAGTTTAATTGGGTCCGGATGAAGGGAACAATCGTCCAGATTAACATTTAGCTAAAATTTGTCTTCTTTCTGCCTGATGGACAAATTAAAATTAATAATATTTGTGAGAAATAAACTTCATATAAACTAATTATTTTTTGCACGAAAAAATTCCCAGATATTTTCCATACAATTCTATATATGACAGACAAATTTTAGACCAAAATCTCTTGCACTTTTTTCAAAAGAAAATCCCAGATTTTCTAACTGTCCGAAATACCACGTGGAACGATTTCTGCTCGATCGAACAGCCTCCAATTTAATAAACTTTCACAACTTCTCCGTAGAACAATAATTAATCACCGGTCCAATTCTATTTTCCGCCTGATAAACTAATTCTACCCTTTAATAGTTTCAGATAGAGAATTGGGTGTCTGACTGGCGTTTTATACATCTCACAGCTATTTTCCACTCTATTATCCCTCCTTGGAATTCTATCCGCTTAAAAAAACAAGCTCTTAATTAACTTGGCTACACGGTTTCGAAATGTTACACCAGTTCAATTAAGAGTAAATTTCGTTCCGTTCGCGGACGTGTTAATAATCTGGCTAACGAACTCGACACGATCCGAGGGATTAAAATTGCAACAAAGCTCGCGTTCAAGTGCTCGTAGTCTTATTACAGCGTTGAACGGAAACAGGCGGCGAACGCAGACAGACAAGTGAAAGTGTCATACACCAACGTGAATAGTAATATCTGTTTATTGAAAGAATAATTAAAAACATTGTCCAAGAAGAAAAATTCATTTCTTTCATGAAATACTTTCGCTTGAATATAAAGATCAGTGAAGAGAAATATAGCGAATTATAATAAATTGTTTCTTGCAGTGGAATAATTTTCGTATTTGATGCTCTGATAAATAATTTCACATTATTCAAAGTATCTTCTTATTTCTTTTTTCTTAATATTAGAATTTTTTATAGAAACTTAATTTATTTTTTAATTTTTTTAAGAACATCCTGTCTTTAAATTTGCAAGAATATTTTTTCTTTTATTTATTTATTTTTTTTGTAGTGGAATAATTTTCGTATTTGATGCTCTGATAAATAATTTTACATTGTTCAAAGTATCTTCTTATTTCTTTTTTTTTTTTAATATTAGAAGTTTTTATAGAAACTTAATTTATTTTTTACTTTTTTTAAGAACATCCTGTCTTTAAATTTGCAAGAATATTTTTTCTTTCATTTTTCTCTTTTCTTTCGTATGCATACATTGTTATCTAAATATCGTACAATTAAGTATGGAGAACTTCGTAACAATTTGCATTGTTTATCGTGTGTAATAATCAACAGTAAACATGGCAACAACTTCATGAAATTCTACTCTCTGTAATTCCAAACAACTTAGACAAGGTTTCGCCTGTATACTCGAACAATTATGCTAGGAAGCAGTTGGAATTCATGACAGACGTACGGTATGCCACTTCGTAGACTAATTTAATTATTAGCTTGGCAAATATGAGACGTGTCTCTGGAGTTTGAATTTGTCTGGCTAATGCCACACATGAAATTTCATTCTGCTAATAAATTATTATCATCTGCATTAACATGAGCTACGAGATATAAATGTGCAAGATATTCTTTTTCAAAATTTATTTTATAGAAAAAGTACTCTTTTTTCGAACGTGCAATTTTTCGAAGTTGGAGTTGCTGAAATTTGGAATTGAAAATTTCTGCAATATGGCACTTGGAATTTTTGAAATTGCGAATCATAGAATTCCTGAAATATGAAACCTATACTTGCTGGAATTTGAAGCTTCAAACCCTTGGAATCTGTAATTTGGAATTTAGAATGATGGAAATTTGAAATTTACAGCTTAAAGTCGTCGCCTTTCGAATGGTCTTCTCTTCAGAAAAGCTAAGTTAACGAAAACTTTCAGTGAAAATTTGGAAGCTTCGAAAATTTAGAACTTTCATCGAAAATAAAATTCTAGAAAATTTTAGAGAATTTCCCTTTTTGCAATTCCTAGGAGCCGAAGGTTTTCATTCTGTGGAAATTCCAAGTTCCATGGGATTTTCATTTAAGAGGAAAATTCGAAATTTTCTTTGGCAGGGATATTTCCCTTAAAGAAAAATTTGAATCAAGAACCATTGATAGTTTCAAATTGTAAAATCATTGAAACGATTCGTGCCACTAAATCAGTAGATCAGTAAAAAATGTAAGTAGCAAATAAATTTCCTATGAAAACAAACAAATATCGTAACACGTGAAATAGAATCTTGTCTTAGCATAAACATGTTATTCTGCAATGAGATGCGCCATAAGGTTCCATTCACGACGCATGGAAATGGCAACTGGGCGTAGTTAGCTTGACCCTAACATCCTAAACCATAATGGCATCGTCGTTGATTTGTGATATCGATAAATTCTCCTGAACTTAAGTCACGAACGTGAATACGATTTACCACGTTATGATTTGTAGCCATACGGATTTACGCGGAAGTAATCATGCATATTTGATCGCTTATGGCTGAAGAAATTTGTTCCGATGGCGTGACACACATTTGTTTCCATGACACCGATTTTGACATTGGCCGCTAATGAACCGTCCGGTTGGTTGGCTCGTTGAATTACGGGCTATCGATGGGATTAAGAATGTGGCGAATAGCCGTCGAATGTTAATCGATTCGATTGCCGTATGGCTGCTTACAGCAGCGTTTATGTGATTTACGACCTGTACGATTCCACTGAAACCTTCCTCCATGGAATACGAATCTCTCCTTTAGAAATACAGGTGTTGTTCGAGAAGTTTGGAAGAAACGTGTGTAGCAAAATGGCACTAAAATAAATTTTTGTTAAACAGTGTGTATTTCGAAGTTAGAAAAAATTAATTTATCGAGATACCATCAAATATTTCTCATGTGTGGAAAATGTTTTTATACAGTGTTTTATGGAAAGGTATTTTTTTAATATTCCTCTGATGGCGTTTAAGTGTTTCTCAATATCGAATATCCTCATATTTATCTATAAACCAGCAATAAATTTGTTAACAAGTTCGCTATTTTTTGTATGTTCTTCTATATTTAACTTGCTCGCTTTAAACGATATCCAGATATTTAGAAAAATAACGTAACCGCAATGAGAGGAGCAGAAAATACAATAAGATGTACGGAAAAATAAGAGCCACGAAATCAGAAGAATTGTCAATTTTTCACTCTTGAAAGACAGCATAAATCACGCTCTTTCAAACCCATTTTGTTTCACGTCGATACGTCGCTCCGTTTTCGAGATATCCAGCTTTAAAGTTTACCATTGATGTGCCGCTAAAATCCCTGAAAGTAAGCTTCACCTTCCACTCCTTCCGGGAAGTGCGTACGCGCGACCTACTGTATAGTAAAAAAACTCGCTGGCTCAGCGCCCTTCAATGGCAACCAGTTGGAGGAGCTTTAGGTCAGTGATGCGGCTGAGTGAGACAGCGCTAGTGCGCAAAAGAGAGGTCAGTGACGCACGCGAGTGAGACAGACGTTGCAGTGCGTGCGAGTGAGACAGACGTTGGAGCGCGTGCGAGTGAGACATACATTGGGGCGCGTGCGAGTGAGACAGACGTTTGAGCGCGTGGACAGAGGTTGAAGCGTGTGGAAGTGAGATAACGCTAGCGCTCACCAAAGTGGAAATTCGAAACAAAAAATCGTAATAAAATACAAATTATAAAAAATATAATATATTTCTGACGTAAAATTCCGAATTGCTCATAATTTTGACCAATATGAAATTGTTATTTGAATAATAATAATTGTGCTTGGAATTGGAAAAATATATTTATCGTATAATATGACACCAATGGGCAAAATAGAAATGCAAAATAGAATTTTTAGTAAACTCTTAATAAAACGATGGTAGACATTTTTGGATTAAAATATTATTTTTCATATTCCTTGATACTGTACTTTTTGTATTTTTTAAATATTTTCTCCCAGTACTTTTCTCGTGTCCTTTTCCACAGTGGATTATTCGAACACTATATTCGTTGGCTTCCATGAAAACGTGTATTCTATGGTATTTTAAATGTAGAATTTTAAATTGCACACAGTATTTAATCCATTTTTAGCAATGTGAAAATGGAGGAGATCGTGTAATTAGAACCCTGATTATAATACAATGTAACTTCTCATATTACATATATGAATATGTAGATAATACTAGTACGTGTAAAATATAAATCTATAATTTTTTATACTTTTGACATTTTTTAACATATCATTCAAAATCCATTTCTACCTAATTTTTCTAAAAATATTATATTACACGTACAATATTTCTGACATATAATTCCATATATAATAATTAATTCTTTTTTTTTTTAATTTTCCATTTCTACCTTCTATTTCAAATATAATCATCCTTTTTTTTCTAGTTCTCTATCTTCTTTCAGTCTCTATTTTGCATTCCAAGTGTACCATGACAATCGATTTTTCTAATTTTCTATTTGGATGTCTTATTTCTAGGGTGAAGAGAATCAGTACGACGTGAATGGCGTGTTCGAGTGTCTCCCCTGTGCTGAGGGTTGCGAGTCCTGTGAGGACGATTCACCGTGTGTGGTATCCTTGAACTGGTTGATGAGAACTGCTATCCTCATCCTGGAATGCTGCGTCATCGCCTGTCTGCCCGCTGTCGCCCTTTTCACTTGGAAGTATGGCAAAGTGAAGGTAAGGAGCCTAAATGCTTTTCCACAATCCAAATCCTTTCTTACGCTTTGAATATTTTACAGAGGCACTTTTCTACAGTCAGCGAAGGCCGGATAATGAAATTCTATAATATCGTTGAAATTTTGATCACATATTGATTCCAAGTTCTTATCGATGCAATAAGTATTCAAAGGAAGACTGTATCTGAGAAAGGATATGGTACTAAAAGCATATATTCTATTATCAGCACTTTCCATTATAAATAGGCTCTAAACTTTTATTTCAATAAGAACGTTAAAAGAGATTGAGGAAATTTTTCATGGAAACTAAAATTAAATTATTGTAATATTATAATGAAATTTCAATAGGAACATTTGTGCTTTTAAAATGGGAATTCATAACTGAAAGTTCTTCAGGCGGATAACTGTTAATGGAAAGTTCTAAATTTCAAACTTTAAATGCATTTTATAAAATGTTCGGTTAAAATACATTTCCATTGTTTGAAACAGGCGATTGGTAACAAAATTCTCTGCATAAAACATAATTTACACAAAAGGGTGCATGCTTTTAAAATGTATCCGAAAATTTAGGTAACAAGGAAGCTAATAAATGTAACGACAGACAGAAATCTCATCATTTGGAAAAACAGATGCATCTATTGCTAATGGAAAATGCACAGAAATATATAAAATATTCCAAATTCAGTATTCTCTGCTATTCTGAATAAGTGAAGCCATCTTTCACCTATGTTGCATTTTTGAAATTAATTTTACACAGATATCACTAAATCCCAAGATTACTATAATACTTTCAACCTACAGCTAAAACAGTTAGTCTTCAGTTTCAGATTCTAGCGTATCTTTTTTTTGCTGCCAAGATTCGAACTGCTTCTAAATTCTCTCTGATTAACAACTTCTGAGCACCAACTATAGATTTAAAATAATCTAGAATCCCCTTTGATGTCAGCTCCACCTTCTTTCTGCAAGGTCTTTGAAATGGTCTGGGGAGAATCCCATTGGGAGGGCCTGTCCACCATCAAAAGGTCCTTTAATCCAAGCCAACTAACTGCCCTAAACGCAGTTGAGGCAACTTCTGTCGAAAGAATCAACTACCAAAGGCTAACCTACCTCCGCTTCGAAATTAATTAACTCAGGTCCAAGCTGCCTTTTCAACGCGATTATCTCAATGCGGCTGACTCGTGAATCGATCCTTTATCTGTTCTCAAATGCAGATTACATCTCTGCATTGCAAAGTTGCGGTGCAGTTCACCGTATAAGCCGGCATTGTTCCCTGGTTTGTCTACATTCCCTTATGGTTGTGTCGTGCACTTTAATATATACTTTTAATTTGATGTTTTGTATAAACAATATGTGAAACTGTTAAACGAAATCATTACCGCAAAATATAATTCACCTCTTAACTAATTTTTACGCATCTTTGTTTTATAAGTAGTGAACATTAGTCCTCGAACTTGGAAAAATGCATGGTGGACAGCGTATAGGTTGCTTGGCTAAGTGTTAATCGAAGAAGGTTCGTGTCTTTTGACAGCTAAGCAAAGAGACGTTTCACTGTTTCATCCTTATCTATGGCCCAAGATTCTATTGCCCAAGATTCCTATGTCCCAAGATTCTATGGCTCAAGATGGCCCAAGATGGCCCAAGATGGCTCAAGATGGCCCAAGATTCTATGGTCCAAGATTCTATGGCCCAAGATGGCCCAAAATGGCCCAAGATTCTATGGCTCAATATTCTATGGTCCAAGATTCTATGGTCCAAGATTCTATGGTCCGAGATTCTATGGTCCAAGATTCTATGGCCCAATATGGCTCAAGATTCTATGGCCCAAGATTCTATGGCCTAAGGTTCCTATGTCCCAAGATTCTATGGCCTAAGATTCCTATGTCCCAAGATTCTATGGCCTAAGATGTGGCCCAAGATTCTATGGCCTAAGGTTCTATGATCTAAGATTCCTATGTCCCAATATTCTATGGCCTAAGATTCCTATGTCCCAAGATTCTATGGCTCAAGATTCTGTGGCCTAAGGTTCCATGGTTTAAGATTCCTATGTACCAAGATTCTATGACTGCCTAAGATTGCTTGACACGTTCTCTTGTCTTCTTTCATTCTCATACTTGTGCCAACCAATTAGTATCCCGTGTATAATGTCCCGCGATAATTCTATAAATTTTACTCAAGTGTCATTTTTGAACCTTTTTTCGTCGATTTTCTCTACCTTTTGCTAACCGATTTAGGAAATTATTTGGCAAATAATTGGCAAGATCCTGACCTAGATCAGAAGAGCTTGGCACAAGGATTTCAGGTAGCACGATTTTGAGGAACAGTTAAGACGGATTTTTCCATATGGAGATGAAAAATAGATGGGGGCAATAATCGCGTTGAAATGTCCAACTTTGGCCGCTTTTCCATTCCTGTCTCGATAATCGAATCCTGGCTAACGAATCCTGTTCTGTTCAATTACACAGCGTAATTAAAGGGAGAAAAAGGTGGATCTGTAAATCGCTGCTACGTTTTTCCAATGGCGTGTCCTTGCAACTATCGTGTACCCTCGATGATTGTTCGTTTGGCGTTCATATTTTCGGAAAATAACGCGTTACCAGACAAGGCAACGTGTTTCCGCTGCCGGAAATTAAAAGCCTGACCTAACCAACGAAAAATAGATCGCCTTTGTTTTTGGTTTGGCTAGGATTTTTTAGATGTGGGGACAGGGTTGGAAAAATATTTGTTTGCAAACATGCGTGTGATGGAACTGTTTGTTCAAAAGCCGTTTCGTGGCATTTGTTATAAAAAAAAGAAGAAGAATAAAAATAGAGTGGAATAAGAGAAAAGTGGAAGAACAATTCCATGAACGTACACTCTGTACATTCTACAGATATTTCCAGCGAAATATCCCAACTCTTCAAGGTGTCTGGATTTTCTTAACGAATTCTATCGATAATTCCGTAAATTCTAAAAGCTTCAGATTCGTGTCAGGATGTTTATCCGTCAATTTGAACGAGAATAACAGCGTTGCTTTGCAATCACGTATCGAGGTTGAGCCATCGCAGGGCTAATAAATTCCCTTTAATTAACCGGAGACGGGCCGAAACCTAAACTACGAACTCACTTCCGGCAACTATCGCCTCCAGTTGTTACGGAAATTTATTACACGAATAGCCCAAAGACAGGATTGTTTCCGTCGGTTTCACCAGTTCCTACGTCAAGTCACTGCTGATAAGATTTGCTTGAAGAGATTATGGATCCTCCTAACATCCAACCGATTTTGTCTAACCGATAACGCTATTAACTCTACTATTACACTAAACCAACTATTTCTTTTTTTCTCTTTTCAGACCATTTCGTAGATCCTTTAAGACTAGTCTCAATACTTTTCATATTTTTTCCTTTTTTTCTTTATAGCCAAAAGTATTAGGTTGGCAACTAAGTGATTGCGGATTTTGTCATTAAGTAGTATTGACAAAATCCGCAATCACTTAGTTGCCAACTCATAATACGATCTCTGCGATGAGATCAACTGGAATTCTAAATATTTTTTCATAAAGCCAATGGACGACGAATTGTTTGAGGTGGAGGTTTCTACAGACTTGCCGCGTATATTCCATAGATATTTTTCCATCTTTCAATTTCCCATGGATACATAAATATCCGTGGCTCTAGTAATCACGAGAAACTCGAACAACATTTCATAAGGAAAACCTGTACGATGTACAGTTTGTGGATGAAATTCATTGGCCGCGCGTTTGCTCATTGAAAATTTTCATTTCATTCGAGTTGGAGAGAAAAAGGACAATTCGTCGCTAATAAAAATACGACTGGATTCGAACGAAGGTTAATTCGTTCCTGCTGGCTGGAATTTACGAGTCGTTGCTCGTTTTAGATCCGTCACGCTGCTATGCAATATTCACCGGCCCTTTTTATTCTGTTATACGCGTCCGTTTGTGGCGGCAGTTGAGCCATTTGCCAGATTGCTTAATCAACATGAAACTCGACGCATCGCTGAAGAATTTTTCATTTCTGCGCACGCAGAACAAATAATTTCCTTCTTTCTCTTTTTTTTTTTTTTACACACCTCGTTTCTGGAACAGGAACGCGTCCATTGGACGATGCACGCGTATGTATTTTATACAATTTTCTACGTGTCCCTCGTAGTTTTCCATTCTGCAAATTTATCCTGTCTCCCGTTGCATGAAACAAGTATTTTTTATTCAGCTGTTTCGTGTTGCTCCGGTGCAAGTTTTTTAAGTTCAAAAATATATTTAGGATTTGGGAATTCAGGAAAAATTTCATAGCTTTTGGTTGGAAATTTTTATCAGTTACTCTGTCTTGAAATTATATCGTTTATGGCAGGGACTATGTCAAAGCTCGTAAATGAAAAAGGATTAGGTTGCTTGCCGATGAATTAAATTGGAGGAAATATTTTGCGTAGATAGTGTAGTGTCGTGGACAAATGGCCTAAGAAATATCGCGTGAACCATAAACAATATTGCGCCGTTAGGCCAAAAGGGCCTGGCAGTTTTTACCGGGTGGTCGTTACCTGGCAGTCGTTATCTGGAGAGTCGTGAGTGGAGAGTCGAGTTGAGTAGTCGTGAGTTGACAGCCGAGTGGTGGGGAGTCGAGTTGTGGTAGTCGTGAGTGGAGAGTCGAGTTGAGCAGTCGTGAGTTGACAGTCGAGTGGTGGGGAGTCGAGTATTGACAGTCGTGAGTGGAGAGTCGAGTTGAGAGTCGAGTTGTGAGGAATCAAGTCATGAGTTGAGAGTAGAGTTGGGGAGAGTCGAGTTGTGAGGAGTCGAGAGTTGACTTGTCGAGTTGTTATGAGTTGTAAACTATTAGTTGTCAGTTGCGAATTAACTATTTAGTTGTCTTCGTTATAGCACATTACTGTATTTAGTTCACATTAAATAACCATCGTTTCCATCCATGTTTAATCCATTGTCAATAGATCTATCAATCAATAAACTTATCACTAGGATAGAAATCATTGGAAACCTTAATTTCTAATGTCTC